ACATTCTTTTTTTCATTCTAAAACATTGTGATCTGGTATGTATTTTGTACAGTGTATCTCAGTTCAGACTAGCCATATTTGACCAGGCACGGTGGCTCATGCCTATAATCGCTTTGGGTGGTCAAGGTGGCAGTATCACTTGAGGTCAAGAGTTTGAGACCAGCTTGGGCAATAACAAGATACCCCTCTCCACAAAAAACCTAACAATATTAGCTGGGCATGGTAGCTCACACCTGTAGTCCCAGATACTTGAAAGGCTAAGGCAGGAGCATCCCCTAAGCCCAGGTGTTGGAGGCTGCAGTGAGCTATGATGATGCCACTGCACTCTATCCCAGCAATAGAGTGAGACCCTGTCTAAAAAAAAAAAAAGACTAGCCATATTGCCTTATTTCAAGTGCTCAATAGCTACATGTGGCTAATGGCTAACTCCAGACTTTAAAGAAAGTTAAGGAAAGAGGGGAAATGTTATCTTTGTCCTCTACCCTACCTTGTTACTAAGTATATAATTTTTTTTCCATTTACAAAGTCCTTTCACATTTGTTATTTCATTTGATAGAAACATGCCTTGCTTTGAAGGATAGATTAGTTTTAACAGGTAGAGAAAGTTTCAGTTAAGAGGAAACACATGAGCAGAGGAAACAAGGCAGGAAAACAAGGGATCTCTTAGGGAATTAGAAGTCAGAGAGCAAAATCTAAGATCAATCAGGGAAGCTCTCAGTGCCAGATCACAGACGCTGGATGTTTTTTGGCAGGTGGTGGGGTGAAACTGAAGGTTTTTCCTCTTGCAGGAAAGAAGCAAGATTGATTTCAACTAGCAGCTGAATACAGCATGAAATAGAGTGTGGAGAAGCTAGAGAAAGCTCATTAGGAAATCACTGCATTAAATCTCAGGAAGAAATGATCTAGATAGAGCAATGAAGAGGAAGAGATAGCCCAGTAGTATCTGGAGCTCAGGAGATCCCAGTGTTAGTTCTTTTTCTCCTTTGGCAATTGGGGAGTAAATTTTTAGGGACCATTTAGAAAGCTCTCTCACTTTGTTCCTTTCTCAATCAACAAACAAATACCTGAGTACTTATGGACTATAATAGACCTTGAGGATATAAAAGGGAACAAGCAGACAGCATTCTTGACCTCTTAGGTTTTATATTTTCTGGAGGCAGAGACAAAAATCAATTATCAGATACCTAATTTCACATTGTGATAAGTACTATGAAGAAAATAATCATGGGGATGAGTGGCCTGGGAAAGACACTCTGAAATGATGACACTTAAGCAGAGAGGTAAAGGACAAAAGGAGCTGGATGTGCAAGGAATCAGGGGAAGAGTGTTCCAGGCAGGGGGACAAGCATGGGTAGAGTCCTGGAGATATGAAAAACTTGGGGTGTTCACAAAAACAAAAGAACAATATTGCTAGAGCATTACTTGGGTGAGGAGGTATGGTAAGAGGTACAGTGAAAGGGACAATCAAGAGGATAAGTCACACTAGGCCTGCAGGCCATGGCAAGAAATTGTACTTTAAGAACAATAGGAAATCACTTAATTTTAGTGTCTTAAAGTTTTTAGGCAAAGGAATGAAAAATTGCACGAGGATGGTAAAGGTGGAACCTGGGATTTCAGTTAGAAGGCAACCAGAGTGGAGCAGATGAGAAATGATGTTGGCATGGTCTAGGAAAAGTTAATGACTCCCCTAATATTTTTGCAAAAATGATGCTCTATGATTATGCTGCAAAAATCTCAAATGAGGTGAAGGATGTTGTCTTGTCCTATTATGCACTTTTCTGGGGAAAAATGCTCCCCCCAAATCAACATGAAATTAAATCTTTGTCAACTCTAGGTATTAGAACATAAAAACTTGACCAACATTGTTAAATATAAAATATAATTTTTTCCAAAATGTAATTTTCATTTTTGAGAAGGTAATTAGGAATCTTTCCAAGGAGATGACACATGACTTGCAAACTAAAAAACAAAAGGAAACAGCGATTATTAAGACTCCATGCAGAAAGAACAGCTAAGTAGAAAGTCCTTGAGACGGGAATGAAATAGCCGTGTTCAAGGAACAGAAGGAGCCCAGTGGGCTGAAGCCGAGTAAATACCCATGGTATGTGGTCCATATTTAGTGAATGCCCCAGACGTGTCTTCTAATTCATCTGTTACCTCCACAATGTTGATGAGCAGTAGCCATCAATAAGAAACAAGCAGAGAAAGGTCTTGACCTACAGTTAAACTGATTTGTCACAGTTCCTTCACAAGAGCTAAAGAAAACCCCACTTGTGGTGAACACAGAGCAGGTATAACATTTTAAAAGAGAATGAGGGGAGGCCGAGGCCGGAGGATTGCTTGCAGTCAGGAGTTCGAGACAGCTTGAGCAAGAGCGAGACCCCCCTCTCTCTTAAAAATAGAAAAAATTAGCTGGGTGTGGTGGCACGTGCCTGTAGTCCCAACTACTTGGGAGGCTGAGGCAGGAGGATCCCTTGAGCCTGGGAGTTTGAAGTTGCTGTGAGCCAGGCTGACGCCACAGCACTCTGGCCCCGGCAAGAGAGCGAGACTGTTTCAAAAACAAAACAAAACAGAGAATGAATACATCTAGGAGGAGCCTAGCAGTATATTCCCTGAAGCGTGACAATAAAGTTCCTTACATATAGTCACCACTCAGGGAACTTCCTACCAGATCTCACAATCTCCACAACCTCAAATATCAACACATCTGGAAAACTCTGAGGAATTTCTTCCAGTCTGCAGTTCTCCAGGAAACTTCACACGTGGCACCCTTGTCTACTCTAATCCTGAGCCAATCAATCAACCAGCAAGCAGCTCTGCCTCACGGGACAGTGCAAACACCCCTCGATCAAATCCGAGCAGAGATAGGAAACGGCGGGCTTATAGGACAACTCCTAAACGTCATGTCCGGTGGCCTGCTCTGCAGCCTCGGCCTTACCGGAAGTCGCTGGCCTGACGAAACAAATATGCCCCTTGGGGGCGTGTCTCTTCCAGAAGCCAATGGTCTCTGCCCACCTCTCTCCTCCGTCTATGTTTTGCCTAATCTTGGCCTGTGACGTTTGAAAGGCGGGGCGCGGAGGCGGGTACGGAAGCCGAGCGGGGCCAAGCTCCCTAGTCGCTCGGAAGCAAGGAAAGGGGGCAAGATGGTCTACATCTCGAATGGTGAGTTGGAGGGGTTGCGGTGGCTACTGCTGACCTGGAAGCCCAACCCTGGGTTTCTTCCATTCTCGCTTGCTTGTCCCGGAGTAGCTTCCCCGGGCTTAGCGCCCCGAGGCCGGGCGGAGTCGGATGCGAAGTCGTCCCGGCTTGCGGCACGTCAGCAGATAGTCGCTGAGCCGGCGGTCGGGCGCCGACGCCCCCTTGGCGAGGACCACCCCGGGTTCCCGCCGGCCTCGAGCCGAGCTCTGGGGGCCCGGTGACCTCGCCTTCGTACTGCAAACTTCTGACTATGGATTTGTGAAAGTGGTCTTTCCTCTTGGGCGTCGGCATCCTTAACTAATAAAGACAACGACGTTGACACCATATGCGTAGCGCTTGTGCCTTGCGCACTGTTACAGCGTTATTTGCTTATCTCATTTAATCTTTATAACAGTCTTGTTCAGGTAATATTTTATTATCCCTGTTTTACGGAGGGAGACTTTAAGGCGCAGATAGAGTAAATAGCTTGCCCAGGATGACAAAAGTGATGGATAGGTGAAAGATAATGGCTGAGTGAAGATTTGAACCCTGGGAAGGCTGGCGTTAGCATCCTTGTTATCAACTATTCTGCCTCTTTCTATGACGTTTAAAAAGACTAAGCCTGCCTAGCATGATAGAGGAAAGCTTTGGATAGGCTTTTTCTTCGGGAGAGGGTAACTACTCATGCATGCAACTTTGTGCCCGAATTTCAAGGGGCCCGGGAAGAAGTACCATTCCTTCGAGGAGCAAGTTGATCATTACCAGAATAGAGAATCTGAAAGCGACTTAATTCTGTGATTCTATAAAGAAAATGACGGGAAAGGAAAGACACAATATGACTGGGTCAGATCAGTGGCAGAACTGCCCGCCCACCTGTTTGACTCAGATGAAATCCCTTGGTGCAATCTTAGCAGGTAGTCAGTACTTGCATCACTGGAACTAGGTCTTGATTCTGTTTGAATCATCTGTTTATCTCCAGAGATGAGTAAGTTAGGGACGGGTCTTATGGCTGAGTGCACTTTGCATTTTTTTCCTGCTTTCAAAATCTCCCCTCCCATCTCCCTCTTAAAAATCTTTGAAACAAGTAGGTTGGTGAACACTAAAGAAAAGTATCAGTTTCATCTTGGTTCAGGGCACTGGCAGACTTCAGTTTTTTTGTTTTTTTTTTTTTTTTTTTTGAGACAGAGTCTCACTCTCTTGCCTTAGAGTGAGTGCCGTGGCGTCAGCCTAGCTCACAGCAACCTCAAACTCCTGGGCTCAAGCAGTCCTTCTGCCTCAGCCTCCCGAGTAGCTGGGACTACAGGCATGCGCCACCATGCCCGGCTAATTTCTCTATATATTTTTAGTTGTCCAATTAATTTCTTTCTATTTTTAGTAGAGACGGGGTCTCGCTCTTGCTCAGGCTCCTGAGCTCAAACAATCCGCCCGCCTCGGCCTCCCAGAGAGCTAGGATTACAGGCGTGAGCCACCGTGCCCGGCTTCAGTTTGTTTTATATTCTTTGTGATTAAGGCTAGAAGCTTCCATTTATGTTGTTGAGAGATTCCTTATATTTGTGCTGTATCATATTGTGTATGCATTATCTTATTTGATTTACATAAATAGCCAGTTAGGACCTTTTATGTCACTTTTATAGTTGAGAAATGTAGCTGCATTCAAGCACCTTATTTCCCTCTGGGGATATTGAGGTGGGGAGGTCCTGCCCTCAAAAACTAGGAGGGAAAGTGCAAAACGCAAGATAAAATGATAGAATCACAAAGGAAGAATTGGTGGGTTCCAGTTAGATCCGTCTTCTTGGAAGGACTGTATTGATCAGCACTTCATAATTGACAAAACATTTCTCTATCAGATGACTTTTCCCCCCAACAATCCTATATGATGGCTAATCCTGGAATACTTTTTCTTAAGAAGGAACACATCACATCAGCCAATGAAGCAGAGCTAGTGAGAGGCAGAACCAAGCCTATCACACACCCTTTGATTTTGTGTAGCCATTTTTTCTCATTAGCTCAGTGACAGCATAGGTCAAGTGGATACCTGAAAGTAAGGTGGTCAAGGAAAGAGGAAAAGTAAACCCTAGAGGAGGGATGGAGGTGAATGGGGTGAAGCCCTTGGGATAATGGAGAGGAGAGGTGGTTGACAGCTGTTCTTCCCCCAAAATATTCTGACCTCTTGATTTGCAAGTGTGAAACTCTAGTGTACTAATTTCTCATTTTGTAGCTTCTATTAAAGTGTTTTGAAAAATAGATACAGTTTTGCTTAAGATAAAGCTAGAATCAATTATTAAAATCAAAAACATCCTGTTATAGAAAATAGTGGTCATTTTGATGAAGAACAAGCCAAATTCTCTTCACTACTCAGAGTATACAGACTCTATGATTTGTAAGAATCTTGTCAAAATAACTGATTCTAAAGGCTTGTAAGAGTATGTATAAACAAGCTTTTTATACAGGCAAGAGACTTTGCAAGTGAAAAGAAATGCTCTGAATGCTTTTAGGAAAATGGAAGTGCTGTGAGCATTCCTTTATATTCACTCATCTCGTATGTTTCCCCAAAATACTTGAATAAAGAGGTATTTGTACATCCATGTTCATAGCAGCATTATTCACTACAGCCAAAAAGTGTAAGCAACTCAAATGTTCATTGATAGATATGAGTGGATAAACAAAATATATATATTACGAAGGAATATTATTCAGCCTTAAAAAGAGGAAGGAAATTTTGACACATACTGTAACATGGAAGAACTTTGAACACATGCTAAATGAAATAGGCTGGTTGCAAAAGAACAAAAATTGCATGATTCCTCTCTTATGAGATTCCTAGAATAGTCAAATTCTTTGAGACAGAAAGAAGAATGGTTGTTGCCAGGGGCTGGGCCAAGAAGGTAATGAGCAGGCAGAGTTTAATGAGTATAGAGTTTCAGCTGGGGAAGATGAACAAGTTCTAGAGGCAGATGGTGGTGATGTTTGTACAGTGTGAATATACTTGATGCTACAAAACTGTGTACTTAATGGTTAAAGTGGTAAACTTTTATGTATATATTACCAATAGAAAAGAGAAAATACTTGAATAGAATGAAGTTACCCACTAAAATTACAAACTGTAGGCAGGCATTTGACATATTAAAGAAATGCCCCTAGATCATGGAGCTTTACTTCTCTGAACCTTCCTTAGAATGATGATCACATAGTAGATTTCTCCTCGTGTTGACCATTTGGAACACTGGACAAGTTGAAACCCAAGTATCATTGTTACCTAACTCATTAAATGTAATGCCTCTTGGGTCAGAGATTTGTAGCACTCACTAAAGCTTCTTTATTGTTATATGCAGGACAAGTGTTGGACAGCCGGAGTCAGTCTCCATGGAGATTATCTTTGATAACAGATTTCTTCTGGGGAATAGCTGAATTTGTGGTTTTGTTGTAAGTATGTCAGTGCTCTTCAATTGCCTTGATATTTAAATTGATTGAAGTACATTGGGTACATTATGTTGGGTATCTTAAATAAGCTCACCTTTTCCAGAAGCAGTTTTTAATTGTAATTTTTAAAAGAGCTTTACAAGGGGAAATTAAGACTTGTTTAGTGATAAAGCTGCTGCTACCAAACATCTTATTATGAATATGTCTGTTGGGTTGGTAAGCTTTAGCATGTCTTCACAGTGGTGGTAACCATTTCAACCTGTGGCCAGGCCTGTCCGTTCTAATGCCAAATGACTGCGTATCACTTTCTATTCCTGGTTTACGTGTGTTTGTTCATACAACTTTTATTCCGTATTATACAACAGCTAAATAAGGAGAGTCATATCTTGATTTAAAAAAATCTCCTAAGTAGTAAACTTTTTTTAAATGAAGGTTAGAGTTAATACAGAGGAGACCAAAATGTAAATGTCCCCATAATTTTGAGCAGTTCTTAATTAAGTGCATTTTTGGTCTTTCACATGTTTGTTTTAGGAAAATCGTTCATCAACAACTAACAAGTCTTTCTCATGCCAAGTTTGAATATATATTTGAATGTCTCATGGTCAGAGAACTTTAGGGATGTAAGATGTGGGAGAGAGTCCCTTTCTTCATTGACATTACTCTCCATAAATATCTTCATATTGCAAGCAGTACAGAGTGGGCATGATTATGGGAGGTGGACATCAGGGAAAGTTTTTCCAGGTGGAAGAAACCATATGAAGGATGGCATAGAAGTTTGAATATGAGGCTGTGGACTTTATGCTTAATTTGGTTGTAGCTGTGGTTTAGAAAGTTTAATTTGATGGCTGCAGGTAGCATAAGTTGGATGAGTAGAATGTAAAACGCATGAGATGCTTCCATAGAAAAATACAACAGGAGACAAGAGAGGTTCTAAGTTAAGTAACCCAGTACAAAACTTATTTAAAGTGTTATAAATTTCATTACTTCATACTGTTTTGGAAATACTGTTTAAACTTAGTTAAATCCTTCCCCATCCACAAATAAATTCCATTTAAGTAGATTCCCAGAAGCTCGGTGCCTTTGCCACATCACCCTCAGCCCTCAGCCCCTCAGTCCCCAGGATAATGTCAGATAGGCTTTTGGCGGGGGAAATGCAGGGGCAGTGAATGTGAGATACTGTAAAAGCAGACTCTGGAACCTGACAACTGATTTAGAATGGAGGAAGGTCAAGGGTGACTCAGGCTTCATGCTGTGCCTAGAGGAGTTATTAGCAAATAAGAAATACAAAAACACAAGAAAGGTGGATTTGACACACAGCATGGCACACTGATTAGGCACGTGCTAAAGCTAGATAGTATTGTCCAGCTGACTGTAAGAAATGTGGGTTTGAAGCTACGTAGGTTTAGTCATCTTCCCACAGAGATGGTAATTAAAACCATGGAAATGTATTTTATATTGTTGAAAGTTGTACCTCTGTTTTCTGCTCCTTGTTTCAGCTTCAAAACTCTGCTTCAGCAAGATGTGAAAAAAAGAAGAGGCTATGGAAACTCATCTGATTCCAGATATGATGATGGAAGAGGGTATAGCCTTTTGATTGATAATAGTTATTTTTTACCCCTTTGTGTATTTTAATTAAAGTAGGTATTTTAGATAGATCAATAGAATTGATGGAAATTAAAAGTTTAAATCCCATTTCACAAAATCAAAAGTCAAGTTGCCTCTGATTTGATAATCAGAGTTAATCTGGCAAAGCTAAAGTATACATTAACTATTGTATAGGAAAAGTCAAAGTTAGAAGATGAAAACTGATAGTCAACATTAAAGTCTAGAGATTTCACTTTAGAATCTGGATTTCCAGCTGCTAATGAAAAACCTCAGAAGGTAAAGTAGCATTAGGCTGGGCTTTCCACATGGCAAAAATCAGCTGCGGTTGGGTTTCAGCTGGGCCTTTACAGGAGGTGCCATTTAGTTCCTCGCAATCCTTTCTTGACTCAGTTTCCTCATGTGTGTTAGGTGTCTGGTTCCTATAAATGTTCGAATTTTTTGACTCCTGACCTAAATGATAGTTCCTATTTTGAGTAATGTTTTAGGGTCATATGCATGTTGAAAAAGAAAAGGGTCCAGGTGAGTGTTTAAAAGGAAGCAATTGAAGTTGTGTTTACTAAATAGTAGATAATAACTTTTTCTTTTATTAGGCCACCAGGAAACCCTCCCCGAAGAATGGGTCGAATCAATCATCTGCATGGCCCCAGTCCTCCTCCAATGGCTGGTGGATGAGGAAGGTAACTTAAAATCTGAAATTATTTTGTAGGATTTTATTTATTGTTTATTTTTATTTTTTATTTTTTTTGAGACAGAGTCTCACTCTGTTGCCCTGGCTAGAGTGAGTGCCATGGCGTCAGCCTAGCTCACAGCAACCTCAAACTCCTGGGCTCAAGCGATCCTACTGCCCCAGCCTCCCGAGTAGCTGGGACTACAGGCATGAGCCACCATGCCCGGCTAATTTTTTCTATATATATTTTTAGTTGGCCGATTAATTTCTTTCTAATTTTAGTAGAGACGGGGTCTCGCTCTTGCTCAGGCTGGTCTCGAACTCCTGAGCTCAAACAATCCGCCCGCTTCGGCCTCCCAAAGAGCTAGGATTACAGGAGTGAGCCACCGCGCCCGGCCTTGTTTATTTTTTAATTTAAAATTTTTTTGCCCACACAGAACTAGGAGGGTTTTGTTTTGAAAATACTTCTTTAGGAAAACAGAAGTTGCCCAACATTTATAATTATTCAGATACTATAATTTGGAAAAATATTTACTTCACTCTTGAAAAATTCATTGGCTGTCTTATCAAAATGTCTTTTGAAAGAGGATTTATAACATGTAACGTGTTGGGCTATTCACAGAGATCCAAATTAATAACTAGTAACTATTACAATGTTTACTTTCAGGTAAATGTCTGCTCTAAGAAGCAGACAACAGGACATGCACATTCATAGCAGAAGGAAACCATCAGGAAGTGGAGGGCTGACCACGCTGGACGAGTGATGAATGTGTACGTCTAAACAAGGATTGCTCTGTGTCTTCACAGATGAATGAGGTCATGCTGGGAATTCCCTCTGCAGGGAACTGGCCTGACTGACATGCGGTTCTATAAATGCACATGTTTGTCTCATTATCTTTTTTGTATAGTTTATTAAAGTATCAATAGTTTTAATAAGTAAATATTTTTAGGTTGCAAAACTGACTCCTCATCTATTTTTTTTCCTTGCTGCTGTGGGCTCTGTTGAGGAATTGCCCAGAGCACGCGCAGCCCTCACTGGGGCTCGGAGCCAAGGCCAGGCGGACATGGGGAGGGGGGACCGGGAGGGGCCCAGGAAAGGAGGGGTGTCTGCCCAGGTTTTCCCTGTTGACTTTGAATTTGGGAATGAGGTGCTGAGGGATGTGACCGCTGCGCTCGATGGCGGTGGCTGGTGTTCTCTGTGCAGAGGACAGACAAAAGCCCGGGCGATCATTGCCTCTACCCACTTCCCGGGCTCCCAAGTGTCCGGCTGGGACACTCAGTTTCCCTCTGGGTGCAACCAAGGAGATGGGAAGGAGAGCCACTCCTCATCTTTATATAATTAAATCACAAACTCTGAATCTGAAGAAAAGAAATGAAAGGCTGTGCGTTCAGTACTATTCAATTTCTGAAATACTGTTCATTGTTACTTTGTTCTCATTTATAAATAAATCACATTGTATTTATTTCAGTATAATGCATATAATATCTGTGCTTGAATTTTTATCTTTAATATATTTATCTCATGAGTCTTTAATACATCATATCTGACCTACCAAATACAATTATCGGGGTATTTATAAAGCCATCACCAACAAAACTGAACTAAAAAATGAAGATTTGCCAGGTAGTCTTTAAAATTGTGGACTTCAATGCTATCTTGACGAATTTGAATTCTATGCCATTGTTTAAGATCCTGCCTATTGGCTTTAACTCTCATCTGAATACTGCTATCTTTCAAATTTTGTCACTAGAGTAGAAGTTCTATGAGATTAGGGATTTTGTCTTTTTTACCCCAATCCTTTGAATGATGACTTCATGTAATAGGCACTGAAATATTTATTGGAAAAATGAATAATACAGATAATTCTACCTCTATGTTTAATAGGCTTTGAAACCAAAGTATTCAGGTGAAAGCTTTTTTATATCCATTTATCAGTATTTATTCAATTCCATTTGTTAGGAAGTGGGATGTAGTGGCATAAGACACTGGTGTCCAAAGATAAGGAAACAAGCAATTTTAACACAAATTTTAGGATAACAGTTTGTTGGCCACTCAATTCTGTCAGACATTTTTTACACATTTTACATTCTGACAAAGGAAGGTAGATAGATATTTGCATTATACAGATACCAGGGCTCAGTAAAGTTGAACAGTTTCCCCGATTATATGGACAGTGAATGGCACAGTCATTCTGTTAAACCTTCACCTAACTAGCTGGAGTGACCATAGCAGATTCTCAGTAGGTGGTGGCTTAGTGTTATTGATGGCTTCTCTGAGCATGTGACCCATGACCCTCTTCTGTCTCCCGGGATTGCTGCTACAGGACTCATTCCTTAGGGCTTATCCTGCAGTCCTGGTTACATTTGACATTTAGCTGTCCCACTCTACACTTCAGGTAGACTACTGTAGTGCAGAACATAGCCTCTTGAGTAGCTTGTGTTCAGATCTTGTCTTTGCTACTCAATAGCTTATGATCTTGAGTGAGTCAGGTCATTTTATTCCAGTTTACTCACCTGTAAAATGGGAATTAAATTCCTACCTCAAAGGATTCTTTACTGAGCAGTACTTAATCAAGAAAAATGTGATTATCAGGCACCTACCATGTGCTAAACAACACAGTTGCATGACAAAAATCTCCCTGCCTGTGAAGCTTACATTCTAGTGTGGGAGACTGTAAGTGAGCAGGCAAAATAATTACAGACTACTGCTTTGTTCATGCTTTAAAGGAAATAGAGTGATGAGAGGATAACTGGGGGAGGCCTGAGGTAACATGAGTTGAAATATATAGGATGAGAATGAGTCAGCTGAGGGAAGGCAAAAGGGACAGCAAAGTACAACAGCCAGATGATGGGAAGGCTTGGCATGTCTGAGAAAAAGCAAGTGTATCTGGAAATGCCAAGGATGGGGGAGAGTGGTATGAGGTGAAATTAGAAATGTAGCGGGAACTAGAGTAAATACAGCTTCATAGACAGTGATTAGATTCTGTTCCTCGAGCTTAAAGGGAAACCATGAGAATTTAGAACATGGGTGTGACATCTAATTTTTGAAATAACTCATTGGCAATATTTTGCTAAGCAGAGTGTTGGGTACATAGTATTGATTGTCTTAACTACTTCATAATATTTTAAAACAAAACTTGGGCGACTGTATGAACACCAGATCATAGGGGGACAAGACAAGGAAATCGGGTTAAGAGGCTCCAGGTGAGTTGATAATGGCGTGGACTAGATAGTGGCAGTAGGAATGGAGAAGTGGATGAATTCAAGATAGATTTTTAAAGACTGCAGGATTTGCTGATGGGTTGGATGTAGAAGGTATGGACGACTGAGGAATCAAAATGGCATTTGCTGAGATAGTGAATTGCGTGTGTGTGTGTGTTCGGGGAGGGGGGAATCAAGAGTTCCATTTTAGACATAAATAAGTTTGCAATTTCTTGAGATCCAAATGGAGATACCAAACAGGCAGCTGGTTATTAGTTTGGATCTCAGGGAGCGGTCCAAACTGGAAATATATATTTGGGAGTCACCTTAGCAGTTAAAGCCGGGAAACGGATAAAGCCTTCCAAGCAGTGCATGGAGAGACCTAGCCCTGGAGAACTCCAACATCAGAGGCTGGACTGAGCATGAGGAAATATGAGAAGAACTAAGAGTATGTATGATGTCTGGGAAGTCAGGAAAAGAGACACCCGTGAGAACGAAATGAGACGTTGGTTACCGGCTGGCCCACGGCAGTCGCTCGAAAATCTCCGTGTATTAGTTGCTAGCCTGGACTAACCTCACCAACGACTACCCAATCCACAACCCACACGCTCCCGCGCTCGGACACCTCTGTCCTTCCGCTTTCCCGGAATCCTCGGGGGCGACTCCGCGGTGGCCATCTTGACTGTGGGCAGCAGGCCGTGCGCTTGCGTGGTGGCTGCGTCTGGCGGTCGCAGCAGAGCCACAGAGGTGAGAGGCTGGTGGGAGTCGGCGCCAAGATGACCCAGGCGGAGAAGGGTGACGCGGAGAATGGGAAAGAGAAGGGCGGGGAGAAAGAGAAGGAGCAGCGCGGAGTGAAGCGGCCCATCGTGCCCGCGCTGGTGCCGGAGTCGCTGCAGGAGGTGGGGCGCCGGGCGCGGGTCTGGGTTGGGACCCCGCACCTTAGCCTCGGTCCTCGCTTCCGGGCCTGGGCGGGGGCCGAGCGGGGACCTAGGCCTGGCGGCCGTTGGGCTGGGTCGGGCTTGCAGCCCCCAACCCCTGGTGTGTGGTGCAGACGGGAGTCTTTCCTCCCCGGGTCGTTGTGCGCCCGAACGCCGGGGGCGAGGGAGCGCGGTAGGGCCCGGCGAGCTCTCTGCAGGGCCCCAGCGTTCCGCCCGCCCGGAGGCTGGCTCTGTGTGCTCGGCCCGCCTCTGAGCCTCAGCTTCCCGGCCTTAAAGCGACGACAGTGATATCACCTACCTCCCAAGTGCTGTGAGGTTTAAATGGTCCCAGGTAGAGTTTAGCACCAGGCTGGCTCTAAGGGAGCGTCAGCCTGTATTTGTTAAGGGATAGAGTTCGAAGTTCAGGCTTTTTCCATTGTTAAGGAAATATCAGGTAATGGAAGTCATTTCAAGCTTAAAAGCAAGGAAAAGATAGACATTCATCTAAATAGACTTTAAGAGCTTATGTATCAAAAATAGAACAAGATTAAGTCAAACTAGAAACAATAATTTGCAGTAGGATGGCAGGTAAAAGGCCTTTATTTATACTTATACGCATGGCCCGCCCACACCGTGCCTTACTGATCTGTAGATCAGACAGGAACATTCCCATAGGAAAACGGACAGAAGCAATGTACAGTTCACAGAAGAAGTAACGAGGCGTTGAATGCTCAGAATTTCATGTGGGACATCTCTGAGCCAGCTTCCTCACCCACTGATGGGTTAAGGATAATACCTCCCTGGTAGGGCAGCTGTAAAGTACATAGCACAGTGCCTGGCGGGTGGTGAGCTCTCAGAATGGTTATTACTGTTGCACAGGCCAGGTTTCTCCACTCAACTGATTAAGGGGGCAGGCAGACTGGATGGTCTGTGAAGACCTTGCCAGTTCCTACCTTCTGGGCTTCTTCCAGGGTTGGGCATTGGGAAGGGAGAGCTCACAGTTGGGGGTGGGACAACAGACCTCAGCGTGGTGTGGAATGGGCTAGTGCACCCACACCATGGTGTGGAATGCGCTAGTGGTATTGGGCACACACGGCGAGTACCTTCTCCAGCACTGACAGGGACAGTTTCTTCAAAGGAAGTGGCATCTATACCAAGACCTGAGGAAGATTAGGAGCTAGCTAGGGAGGGGGAAATCTCATGGAGGGAGAACAGTGTGGAAGAGATTTGGGCCAAAAGGATGTGGTGTTGGAGGCACAGCTGGTAGATCAGGATGTCTGGAGTTGAGGGGTAGGACTGGACATCTTAGCAGGAGTTAAATCACAAAGGTCATGTAAGCTGAAGAGTCTGGCTGCTTCTGAAGGCACTGTAGAACTTTGGAAGGCTTTACTGCATTAAGAGGTAGTGTTCCCTCAGTCCTTCTGGTGGCAGGCTCTGAGCTACGTGATTAACTCCTTTAATCCTCACAATAACCATAAGGTAGGAAATTCATCCAGAGCAAGGAAGTGGCAGTCTGAATTTGCAGCCAGATCTGTGAATCCGGAGCCTGGACCTTTAACCACTACAGCAACATTTCCTTCAGTCACATTTCAGTCGGTTGTACAACACCCTTTGGTTTTTCCAGATCCTATGTGGCAGCTGTACTGTTTGCTTAATAACTGTTTTGCTCAGTCTTACCGTAAGCAGTAATATCCAGAAATGATGTATGGGATATACTGGCTAGGTTTTTGTTTTCCTAATACATAAAATAAATAACATAATTATTAAAAAATATTTGTCTATACTTTGGGAAATCCCATTTACTATCCTGGAGTTTCCTAATCAGTATGCCATAGCCTGTG